AGGGCCACGCCCCCCGCGGGCCGCGCATGCGCCTGGCGCAGGGGCGAGGGGGGGAATCTATAAATGCACAATCCTATAGTGTGTGCGGGCGCCTTCCCTTCCCCTCTTCATGCATGTATATACCTGTACATGCTTCTGTATAGGGGTGTACATGCATGCATGCATGTGTCCATGTCTTGACACACATGTATGTAAACAAATGCATATGGACACATACACACTAGTGCATGCAGGGCTATGCGTGCATGCAAGGACATATATAGGCAGATATGAATATATATGAATATACGCATATACATGCATTTTTGCATGTGTGCAGACACGGCTATGTGCACAGAGGTTCGTATGCGTATGCATACATATACGCAAGCACATAGAGGACGCACGCGTGAACATACAACCCCGTGCATGCATATATACACACACCTCCATACACATCAACGGACACGCGTATATGCTCACCTGTATACGTGCACGCCTATACGCGTACACCCATGTACACCCATACACACGCACTGGCCATGTGGGTGCTGGGCTCTGTGCTGGCACGCGCCGAGCTGCGGCAGTTCTCAGCTATGTGGCTGACCCTTCCCGGGGAGGCAATGGATGCAGCGACCACGCCAGGCGGGTGGGTTACGTGCTTTAATACGAGCGCCCCATCAGCACCGCGCTGCGAGCCCTTGGCCCCTCGTGAGCCCGCCAGCGGCGCTCGGGGCACAGTCCTCGAGCCCGGACGCCTGGGCCCTGCTTGCGGAGCAGTTTGGTGCCGTCCAGACACCCCCCATGATGGTGCCAATGTGGGGAGGCACAGGCCGGGCAGCTCCGGGCACACCGGGTGCAGGAAAGACACCGCTCCGAAGGGAGCAGGAGGGATACGGGGAGCTCAGCAGAGCACGCAGCCCTGCTTGGGCCGCCTCCGCCGCCGGCTCCTCCGCGCAGCACTGAGCGCGGCGCTGCAGGCCGCCGCGAAGATGGACGAGATGTTCTCCTGGTACTTGGCCGAGCACTCGAAATAGGACACGGCGTGCACCAGCCGGGCCATGGCCTCCCCCTGCATGGGGACGAGGGGGGTGAGATCCGCGCCGGCCTGGCCACCCCCTTTCGGGGGAGGCCCCGCCGGGTGCCCCATGAGAGCTCCTCGTCAGGGGCCGGGCACTCACCCTCTGGTAGGTGACGGGCTCCAGGCGGTCCTCGTGGAGCCGGCGCAGCACGGCGCGGTCCTTCCGCAGGTCGGTCTTGCAGCCCACGAGCACCACGGGGACGCCCTTGCAGAAGTGGCTCACCTCCGGGCACCACTGCCGGCAGCAGGTGAGGCAGGAGGGGATCCCTGGGTATCACCTCGTTCACCTGCCTGCTCTCACGCCGGGTGCCCGGGGCCTTATTTTTCCAATGGCTTTTGGGCGTCTCTGAAGATGGAGACTGCACACCCTGCCTGGAAAGCCAACCCCCCCGCCCCAGGGAAGCGGTGCTACCTTCGTGAGGATGTTGTCATAGCTGCTGGGGTTGGTGACATCAAAGCACATGAGGACAACATTGGCGTTCGAGTAAGACAGCGGGCGAAGCCTGTCGTAATCTTCCTGTCCTGCCAGGCAGAACAGCACACCAATAAATAGCATTTCCCCATCCCAACTTGCCTTTAGTGGTCCACCCTAATGTCCTGTCCCTCCAGTTTGGAAGGGAGTCCCCACTCTGAGGCTGGGAGGCTGGCTGGCTGTGGGTCAAAGCTCTTGTGGACAGAGCTCTCACAACATGCAGGCTCATGTGCATGGGACGTACCCAAGCCCCACAGGTGGCATGAAACTGGGGGACCATCTGGTGCCCCTGCTGGGCATGGCTGCCTTCCCCATCCCCTCCTGTCCCCTCTTGTCCCACCTGCTGTGTCCCAGAGGTGGATCTTCACGGGCTTGCCGCCAACCTGGAAGGAGGCTGTGTACTTCTCAAACACCGTGGGGACGTAGACCTGGCAGGACATGAGTGCGTATGAGATGATCCCAGGCAGCTGGAGAGCTGGAGCACCTGAAGGGCATCCCTGGAGAGGTGCTGAGCTGCTCCTGTGCCTCCGGGATGGACACCATGCGCTAGGCCCAGGGCACAAGCAACCTGAGACCTGGGGCAAAGGCTGGGTACTACCTTCCAGTGCCCACTGCCAGGAGCCTTGTGGAGCCCAGCTCCGCTCCAAGCAGGGCCACTGCTTCCCTGGCTGCGCATGGGGACTCCCCAACCTCCCCTGTGTCCCACTGCCCTTCCTTGGGTTGCAAGCAGCTCTGCTTCCAGATGGAACCCTGCTGGCTCCACTGGTGGCCGGTTCCCTTGGCCTCCTCCCTTGACCCTCTCTGTACCCTCCTTGGCAGAGCTGTGTTCTGTGCCTGGCAAGTCTTCTGCAGGGCCGAGGGAAAGATGCCACGGGAGGGCTTGGGGGCCATGCTGGGACGTGGTGACCCCCACCTCGGGGACATGGCCGACCTGTCAGAGCGTTGGGCGGGGGCTGAGGTGTCCTGAGGGCAGAGTGCAGGGGCATCCCCAGCCCTGCCGTGTGTGGGGACAGTGGGAGGGCTCCTTACCTTGGGGAAGTCCCCTCTGGCGAAGACCATGAGCAGCGACGTCTTGCCGCAGCCCCCGTCCCCGACGATGACAGCTTTGATCTCCGTCTCCTTGGCCTCGGCCGGCGGCGCCCGGGCCGGGCTGTGCCCCTCGGGCTCCTGCTTCATGGGGGGAGCACCCGGCTTCCTGCTGCTCTCACAGCTCGCGCGTCCCTCTCAGCCTGCTTTGGCTGCCTCCGGCCCCGC